AGCATTCCTGGCCTCCCTGTCCCTCACCATCTCCCAGAGTTTGCCTAAGTTCATGTTCATTGCAACAGTAATGCCATCCAGCCATCTCATCCTGTGACACCCTCTTCTCCTTCTGCCCCCAATCTTTCCCAGCATCAGAGACTTTCCCAACGAGTCATCTGTTCACATCAGATGACTAAAATACTGGAACTTCAGCTTCAGCATCAGTTCTTCCAATAAATATTCAATGGTAGTAGAAGTTAAAACTGTTTTCACTGGAGAGGACACAGGACATAGTTACTAGGAGGCAACAGTGACTCTGTAGTGCTGGGAAAGTCTCTGGGCTTATCTGGGTTGGGGAACATGACTGAGGTCTACACTTACTGCCAGTACTTTGTTTTCCATGACTATTTGTAAATAATAATGCTGCTTAAAAATATATTATTCCCCTTTACACTTCTTGCCCTGACCTGAAAAATGAATGAACAATGAGAGGAAGCAGATTTCACCATGAAATATCCGATTTTTGAAGCCAGGTTTCCCTCACTCTCTGCTCTTGGGGACATTTCACTCCATGAGTACCAGTAGCCCTTCCCCCCTCTCTTACCTGAGCAGATCACATAGGCTGTGTTGCCATGGGAACAGTCAAGACCACCGAGGGCAGCCACAGGACAACTCCACAGGAAGGACTCAGCCCCGGAGCAGTGAAATCGGACTGTTGAGATCTGATCACCTCCTTCTACAAAGTGTGGTCCTCTAGGGGTGGAGATGGCGACTCCACAGCCAAGCTGACGACAGACAACATTGGCGTTGGCCAGACTCCAGTGGGAGGCACAGAGCGCTCTCCATCGTCCAGAAATGTTCATCTCCACCTGCCCCTCACACTGAGAGGAGCCGTTTGTCATAAGCCGGACTTCTGTATACACTGGTAGAAGAACACAGGATTTCAGCAAAATCATATGACTTTCTCACCTGAACAGGGTGTTCACAGAGATGAAAGGCCTGACCTGCATCTCACCTGAACAGACAACCTGAGCAGCTCCACTATGGTGACACGTGCCCCCTGGACAGGGCACTCTGGGGCAGACCCGGAGCACAGGCTCCTCCCCCTCACACCTGAACTCTTCAGCCCAGACCCGGCCATCTGACTCTCTGAAGGGCACGTGTCCCAGGACAGACACAGCCTTCCCACATCCCAGCTCTGCACAGATGACCTGGGCTGTGGGAAGTGTGAAGTTCCTATCAGACACTGGGGTCCAGTCTTCTCCAGAATGCACTTCGACTCGCCCTGAGCAGGGTCCATCCCCTCCAGCCAGACGCACAAATCCTAAGGGAAACAATCAACAGCAGCAACAAACCCTGTGAGTGTTCATAGTCCTTGCTTGGCATTGGAAACTGTACATCACAGACAAGGATGTGAAAGCATTTCATTTCTAGGAGTGGGGCTGGAGAGAGAATTTGACAGTGTGGGTCAGAATTGTATTAATATTTTCATGACCAAGTTTATGAAAAGAAACCCAGAAAAATTTGCAGTCAGTAAGAATGTATATTTTGAGATTGAATAGGATGAGAATTCCTCATCTAGGGGCCTGGAAATGACAAGTCCCTAGGAAACTGCACTACAGTGGGGATCAGACTTGAACACAGAGCTGAACTAACCCAGAGTGAAGTAGGTTTATGGGATTCAATAGTTTAGATGACTAGGATCCAGACAAGATTAGAAGCCCATTTGAGATTTCTGGAGCTAGAATTCTGGCCACTTTTCCCTCAGGAGCCAATAATCAACTCACTGAAGGCAGGGAACCTCATAGCAGGAGATCTATTAATTCAGGATAGACTGTAGACAGACTTATGGCTCACAGGAGGAAAGCTAGACATCACACCAAGTCTACAAACCTATTATGATTTGATGTGTATTATAACAGGCCTATTATGATTTCACATATATTGGCATTTGAAATAACACAATTATTTCTCATAATTCTTGATGGTGAAAAATTCCCAGAATTTCTTAAGTGACTTGGTTGTGAAAAGAAGTTGTCCATAGATGAGTTTGAATATTAAGAAAGTTCAGAGAGTCATAGGAGAGGGAGGGGCCTGTCCTAGCCATCTTTCTTGAAAGCCTAGGATTTATCAAGGGAGAGAATGAGTTTTCAGTGGGGCTATGCAAATCAGCTGAGTTGATTACTTTCTACTAGACTTGGGAATATAAGACATGGCAATCTTAGCAAATACTAAGAAATGATGATAATTTAATGTATTTTAATCCTATGTATATGCTAACTATGTAATCCTTTCCTATTTGGATTCTTGAGAAATAGCTAGCATGCAGTAAAAAAAAAGGAGAGGGAGATAAAGAGAGATGAGAGCAAACAAGCCACTTGTAATTTAGACATTTCCAAACACAAATCCTCAATACAGATGGAAGATAGACAGACTTGAGGAAAATATTTGTCCAAGTTTTTGACACATTTTATCCACTGTGCTCCTCCCATCTGGCCACCTAACCCTGCTACCCTTTCCCATTTTATCCACTGAAGACAAGGGAACAATCTTAAAAGCTACAAATGAATGGAAAGGAGACTCTGAAAGGGAAGAACATCTGTAGGAGTGGAGTGTGGGTGGGATGTGTGGTAGATTAAACTGTGAATGGATGGAGTATACAACTGAAAGAGATCGAACTGGTCTCATGGGGAGTTCGATCACAGGCTACTCTTTCTAATTAAATAATTTTTACTCAACACCTTGTTAGTTTCTGCATTAATCCCACCAAATTATGAATTTAGAAAGAAAAAATATCACTTACATGTTATTTTAGATAGACTGACACATGTTAGACACTCAAATATATACAGAACAAAGTCTTATACACATCAGGATAGTCTCCCGAGACAAATTATTATTTCTTTTTTACTTTATATTTGCTTTTAAATTTTACATGGAAAAATAAGTGTGTGAACATTGCAAGAAAATTTATGAACTAGAAGGCTGATGTGAGGGGTAAGTGATTAAAAATAATAAAATCAACTATGTTCTTGGATAACAACAGAAAGAATGGGGCAAAATATAAATATTTAACAGACACAAAGACATACATACACAGAAATTTAGTATTTGAAGAAGGTAATACTTTATATCATTAGAGAAGACAATCTGTTCAATAAATAGTGCTGAAACTCTTTTTGGTCTCCATTTTCCAAGTTTAGTCTATTTGCAAGAGAAACATCAACCTGAATCATAGGAGGGACCTCAGGGGCCAGGTTGTCAGGAAAGGATTCTCTCTGCACCTGTGCCTGAGCCTGGGAGAGCCCCGATTTTCTGCATTTCAGCTTCTGCTGAGGGCCCTTTGTCCCAAAGGCTATCTCACTGTTATAGCTTTGGGGCTGGATTTTATCCAGGGAACCACAAGGTCATAAGGGACTGGGTGGGTTTTCATCATTGTTCATGTGCATCCATCCTTATTTCTCTCCCTCTGATCAAGATGACCTCCTCTCCTCCCTGTAGCTGGGATGCATCTGCCTCCAGACCAACTCTCAACCCTCTGAAAGTCAGAGGTGATCAATGTGAACTTTACATCAAGGTGCAGCAAAGGCTAAGGAGAGTGGGTTCTTAGAGGCCCAGAAAACTCCCCAACCTCTGATTGGGAAATGAAATGGAGAGAGAGGAGAGGCTACAAAGGAGTCATATCTGAATCCTCTGCAGAGGTCTGATATTTAAGTAGGAGGATGTTATTTTGAAAGCAATATTGAGAATCTATTTTCATGTGGTTTATTACAAATACAAGCATCTTTTTAGAGTCTGTTATATTCAGGAATTTTGGCCGATGTTGGGAATGTACATTACAACAAAACAATGCTCTTATCTTTTTAGAAGTGCAAGAGAAAAACAAGTAGACAGTTTTAAGTCCTCCAAAATGTTTATGAGAGACTTGGATAATCAAAGAAAGGGAAACTGCCATTTCAAAGGGCCATTTATTTATATGAATCCACTGCAACAAAGGCAAAATGAAACTGTGGTCAGATATATCCTTGTCTGGTCCCTTGATGTACAGATATCCTGTGCAGAATCCTCCCAACCACTGCTGGACCCTCAGTGCTTCTCAGAGAACCGCACAGGTGGCTATTTCAGCTCCCATTGCCCTGCCATCCCTCCTAGATATGATAACTCTCTTTTAGCTTCCTCAAAAATTATATTTGCCTCCTTACTTCTATTCCTATCAAATAAACCCCCAAGTGTAATTCTCTTATATCACTGAAATCATCAAGTGTAAACTATATAATCTCTTACTATAAAACACAGAATCAATATTTCTTTGCCTCCCCCATTGCTGTGTCAGTGCACAACACATAGCTAAGTGTTCTTTCAAAGTTTTGGTTTATGCAGATGTTTTAAACGAAAACATGGACAAAGAATCTTTCTAATAACAACAGAAGGAGAAGCTATGACTCAGAGCATTTCATCCACAGTTCTCTCGTCCTACTAGCCAAATGGCTATGAATACTTACATTTAAATTTGAGAAGGAGACTTGAAATTTGGCATAAATCCATACATTTCTTTATGATTTGTTTAATAATATCCCCTGTGCCTCCACTCCTACTGACCTAGTGCAAAATAGTGTGTCATAACGTAACTACGGAAACAACTCCACCCAGGGAGGTGCACCCTCATTCTTGTCACTCCCTCCTATGGGTTGACTGTGCAAAGGGATGTGTGTGTGGTGATTTGTGAGTATTTCACTATTCCAAATATTATATAAAAAACTATGAAGATTAATTTTAATTGGGAATAATAGATTAAACACTGTCAGGTAAGATCACTGGAGAAGAAATATCAGAGACTGACAAGAGGAACGTAGCAAAGTAGTTGAAGCCCATCACTCAGAGATAAATGTGCCCTCAGGGAGGATGGGTAGATGTCTTAGACCTCTCTAACTTGGTCATCTTCTATCGCCAGGCGACCAGACACCAACTTCCTTGGAAGTTTCTACTTTCTCAGTCCATGCACAATGCACTGACCGTACCTGAGCAGACGACCCCAGCATCCTCTGCATGCTCACAGTCGTGCCGCCCCCAGCCCCGGGAAGGGCACCTCCACACATGGGACTCCTTTCCTCCGCAGTTCAGTTCATCCAGCCAGATGGGCCCTGATCCCTGACCTAATTGAGCAAATTTCAAGGCATCGAGGGCTCCTCCACAGCCCAGCTGCCTGCACACCACGCGGGCATCGTCCAGGTCCCAGCCGTCATCACAGATGGTGCCCCAGGAGCCTTGGTCAAGGATCTCCACTCTCCCAGCACAGGAACCGCCCCCGTCCACCAGGCGGAGCTGTTTGCTGCCTGAGGAGAGAGAAATGTGACAATGAGGTGTTGACTCAGGAGTGGGGGCGTGGGATGGAGCGGTGGGGATAAGAGTCTTCGGGTCCTGAGTCTCCTCTGAGGCTGCAGAGCCTGCTGGTTGAGACACGGAGTCTTTGCATTTGGGCAAGCTCCTGGGTCTGGTTTCTTATAGCAGCAGTGAGAATAATAAGGTTGAAAATGGGCCAAAATAGGAAATATCACTCTACTGAGTAGTGTGAGACAGATGTTGTTACCCAAGTCTATCGGTATTAACCTTCTGATTTGTAGAGTTCTGCATTGTTGTTATTGAGTCACCAAGTCATGTCTGACTCTCCTGTGACCACATGGACAACAGTTTGCCAGGCTTCTCTGTCCGTGGAATTTCCCAGGCAAGAATACAGGAGTAGGTTGCCATTTCTTTCTCCAGGGGATCTTCCCAACCCATCGATCAACTGGGCATCTCCTGCACTGGCAGGTACATTCTTTAACACTGAGCTACCAGAGAAACCGGACAAAGGTCTGTCTAGTCAAAGCTATGGTTTTTCAAGTAGTCATGTATGGATGTGAGAGTTGAAATCTGAGTGAGAGTGAGACTGAAAGCTGAGTGCTGAAGAACTGATGCTTTTGAACTGTGGTGTTAGAGAAGACTCTTGAGAGTCCCTTGGATTGCAAGCAGATCCAACCAGTCAATCCTAAAGGAAATAAGTCTTGAATATTCATTGGAAGGACTGATGCTGAAGCTGAAACTCCAACACTTTGACCACATGATGGGAAGAACTGACTCACTGGAAAAGACCCTGATGCTGGGAAAGACTGAAGGCAGGAGGAGAAGGGGATGAAAGAAGATGAGATGGTTGGATGGTATCACCGACTCAATGGACATAAGTTTGAGCAAGCTGTGGGAGTTGGTGATGGACAGGGAAACCTGGCATTCTGCAGTCCATGGGGTCACAAAGAGTCGGACACAACTGAGTGACTGAACTGACTGATAAATAAATAAGAAAATTTTAAACATTCTAGAGAAAAATAAAAATTGTAATGAAAGCTATCATAGAGTCTTCTAAAATAACTTTAAATATTTACTTGTCTATAACTACCTGCTCTAATAACAAATATAGAAACAGATATACAAACATCTCCAAATGGGTACACACACACACACACACACACACACACACACACACACTCACACACACACACCCCTACCTGAATTAAAGTTTCACTGGAGGAAGGATTTTGCATATCTTATTTGCCCTGTATTGCTGCTATTAGGACAGTGCCTAAATATTGTATGCACTCATTCAACAAGGGAGCAGGCACATGGCAAACCACTCCAGTGTTCTTGCCTTGAGAATCCCAGGGACGGGGGAGCCTAGTGGCCTGCATCTATGGGGTCACACACAGTCAGACACGACTGAAGTGACTTAGCAGCAGCAGCAGCAACATTCAACAAGATTCAACAAGTATGTATATGGAGAACCTTTTCTAAATACCATGATAGTTGCTTAATAAATATTTATTGAATCAGTGTGTAGATGAATAAAATTCAGTGAAACAGAAGTCCTTTAGCTTCATGTTAATCAGTGAAATATTAATAGTAAAGCAAATATAAATTAAAGGTAATGGTTTGTGATAATAAATAGTGCATATTAAAAATAAGTTTAATTTAACACACAGTATTGCTATTAGGTAGGCATTGTTGGGTTTCCCCAGTGGCTCAATGGTAAGGAATCTGCTAGAAATGCAGGAGATGCAGGTTTGATCCCTGAGTCAGGAAGATCCCCTGGAGAAGGAAATGGCAACCCACTGCAGTAGTCTTGCCTGGGAAATCGCATGGATAGAAAAGCCTGGCAGGCTACAGTCCATGGGGTGGAAAAGAGTTGAACACAACTTAATGACTAAACAAAAACAACAAAATTAATTTGTCCATAAGCACAGAATTAATTTATATTCAAAATTTCACCTACATAATGTTAAACGAAAATTATTAAATAGATTCTAAAGCTACTCTTATCTATTATTCACTATGACACATAGGCAATTGTACAAAAACAATGTAATACTTAGGGATAAATTTAAGAAAGGAGGTGAAAACCTTGAACAGTGAAAGCTGTAGGACACTGATGAAAGATATTAAAGAAGACACAAATAAATGAAGAGATAATCTGTGGTCATGGGTTGGAAGACCTTATATTGTTAAAACGCTCATGCTACACAAAGAAATCAACAGATTGACTGTAATCCTTAACAAAATTCAGGTGGAAATTTTCAAGCATATGGAATAAACAATCCTAAAGTTTCTATGGAACCACAAAAGACCCTGAATATCAAAATCAATCTTGAGAAAGAAGAACAATGCTGGAGGTGTCATGCATCCTTATTTCAAACTATATTACAATGTTACAGTAATCAAAACAGTATGGTATTGGTATAAAAAGGGACACAGACATCAACAGAACAGAATAGACAGCCCAGAAATAAACCCAAATATATACAATCAGCTTTTGACAAAGGATCTAAGAATATACAATGGGGAAATGACAGTCTCTTCAATAAATGGTGTTAAGAAAGTTGGACAGTCACATTGAAAAGACACAAAGTCACCACTATCATACACCATTCGCAAAAGTCAACTCAAAATGGAGACTTAATCATAAGTATTGAAGCCATAAAAATCCTAGAAGAAAAAGTAAGGGAAAAAATGTCTTTGACTTCAGTCTTTGTGATGATATTTTGAATTTGACGCTGAAAACAAAGGCAACAAGAGTAAATATAACCAAGTGAAACTACATAAAACTTAAAAACTTCTGCACAACAAAGGAAATGGTACACAGAATGAAAGGACAATCTGTGGAATTAAAGAAAATATTAGCAAATCAAATGTACTTGATAAGAGTTAATATCCAAATTATTAATATTTAAAGAACTCATACAACTCAATAACAGAGAAAAAAAGTCTGATTTCAAAATGGGCAGAGGACCTGAATAGACATTTTTTTTTCCACAGTAAACATACATCTGGTCAACAGGTACATGAAAAGGTACACAGTAGTACTAGTCACCAGGTCAATGTGAATCAAAACCTCAATAAGATATCACCTCACAGAATTGCTTTCATCAAAAAAAAAAAAAAACAAAACGAAAGAACAAGAGCTGTAATAATGTGGAGAGAAGAAAAAGTTTATACACAGTTGCAAGGAGTGTAAGTTGATGCATCCCCAATGGAAAACCATTTTGAGGTTCCTGAAAAATTAAAAACAGAACTGCTGTATGATTTAGCAATTTTCCTTTTTGGTATTTATCTGAAGAAAATGAAAACACTAACTCGAAAATATATGTGCAACCCAATGTTCACTGCAGAATTATTTACAATAGCCAGACAATGTAAGCCATCAGTGATGGATAAATGGATAAAGAATATATATATATATATATATATATATATATATATAACATTTTCTTTATATATATATATACACACACACACACACAAACACACAGCCACCAAAAAAAGAAGAAATTCTCATCATTTGCAACAACATGAATGTACCTTGAAGGCATTATGCTAAGTGAGCTAAACCAGACAGATAAAGAAAAATATCATATAGTCTCATTTATATGTGGAATCTTAAAATAGCTTTTTTAAAAACGGGTTCAGAGATGCAGAGAACAGTTTGGTGGTTGTCAGAGGTGTGTCAGTGTGGGCAAAATGGATGAAGGTAGTCAAAAGGCACAAACTTCCAGCACTAAAATGAATGTCATGAGGATGCAATGTACAGTAGAGGGAGTACAGTTAATGTGTGTGTGTGTGTGTGCTCAGTCTTGCCCATCTGTGACCCTATGGACTGTAGCCTGAGAAGCTTTTCCATCCATGAGATTTCCCAGGCAAGAATACTGGAGTGAGTTGCCATTTCCTTCTCCAGGAGATCTTCACAACCCAGGGAGGGAACCCATATCTCTTATGTCTCCTGCATTGGCCATGGGGATTCTTTACCAGTAGTGCCACCTGGGTTAATACTGTATCTTATATGAGAAAGTTGGTAACAAAGAACACCTTACAAGTTCTCATCACGAGAAAAAAGTAAGGGCTTCCCTAGTGATCCAGTGGTTAGGAATCCACCTTGAATGCAGGGGACACTGGCTCTATCTCTGGCCCAGGAAGATCCCACATACTGCAGGGCAACTAAGACTGTGGGCCACAATTACTAGGCCTGTGCTCTGGAGCCCTCGGCCTAGAACTACTGAACCTGTGTGCAGCCACTCCTGAAGCCCTCATGCCCTGGAGCCAGTGCTCCACCACAAGAGAAGCCTGCAGAGCACAACAAGGGACCAGACCCTGCTCAACACAACTAGAGAAAGACTGTGCACAGCATGGAAGATGCAGCACAGCCAAAAATAAACATAGGATAGTCATCATTTTCCAGTATGTACAAATATATAAGCATTATGTTGCACGACTGAAACTAATACTAATACTGTTACTGTATTAGTATTACTAGTATCATAATACTGTGATTATATGTCAACTACAAATTTTAAAAAATAGTGTTAGAACATGTGGGTTAAATCAACTCCATGTTAACTTCTGAGTTAAATTCACCCATTCCAGTCCATTTTATTTCCCTGATTCCTAAAATGTCACGTTCACTCTTGCCATCTCCTGTTTGACCACTTCCAATTTGCCTTGATTTATGGACCTAATATTCCAGGTTTTTATGCAATGTTGCTCTTTACAGAATCAGACTTTACTTCCATCACCCATCACATCCACAACTGGGTGTTGTTTTTGCTTTGGCTCTGTCTCTTCATTCTTTCTGGAGTTAGTTCTCCACTCTTCTCCAGTAGCATATTGGGCACCTACCAACCTGGGGAGTTCATCTTTCAGTATCATATTTTTGGCCTTTTCATACTGTTCATGGGGTTCTCGAGGCAAGAATACTGAAGTGGTTTGCCATTCCCTTCTTCAGTGGACCACGTTTTGTCAGAACTCTCCACCATGA